AACGATGTCGTTTGTCGTCCAAGAAAACAAGAATGCGGGCTTTAGTGGTTCATCGAAAGAGAACAAGAAGTTACAATGCTTGTCGCCTGAGTACAGATTGAAGGATTGAGAGTACAATGTCTAAGTAGAGGGACAAAATTTTGAGGCTTGGTATTGCATAGGTTTTCATGAACTTCTATTATATACATATATATATATATAATACAAACGATACTGGAAGAAGAGAGAACCGAACACAAACTATCGGGTGCAAAACCTAACGCTCCCCTGGAGTTTCAAGCCCCTTCTAATATTTTTGTGACCTTTAGTTTTAATTGTCCTTCAAAGAAAAAGGTTTTGAACATTTTGAACCTTAATTCTCATCTTTGAGAAATGTACACTAAGAACTTCGGGGCATGGGTGCAATTTCTTTCTTCGGATAAAGGAACCATTGCATATTTAATAAAAGAAAAAAAAAGTAGCAAAATCCAACAGCAGAGCATCAGAGGAACGACCACCTTAGGCTATAAAACTTAAAAAGATGTCAATGTAAGCGAAGAGAACCAACTTTATACATTGGCAGTGGGATCACTATAATCTCGTCGATCAGATTTTACCGCTAATAACAGAAAAACATCAGAACAAAAATCTAAACATCCCAATACCACCCACATCCCACCTTTTCAAAAAGTGCAGAAAACAAGGATTGTAAACAGTACACAGTGCTCATGGGCAACAACATACATGAGAGAGAAGCAATCGAAAAATATTTGTTCTTCTCAAGAAGCTGCAGCCTGGGTCAGTGTGAGCCATCCGCAGCAGATGATCCGAAGGAAGGAAGGAGCCACCCTTTCTCCTGCGCGTGCTCCACATAGAAGCTGAATTTCTCCCTTGCATTCGGAATGTCAAGAGCCAAATCATCTAGCCCGTCCTTGATTCGGGTGAAGCCTTTTGTCATCTGGTTAATTGTGATCAGCCCTTCGTTGAAGCATTCCTGAAGCAGGTGAAGCATTCTGTCATTCTTCTTCTCCATGGCCATGACCAGTGCCTTTTTCACCACCTCATGGTTAAAGAAGGGCATCCCAAGATCACGAATGCACTGGCAGGCTTCACTCACTACACCCCCACTCTCATACTCCTCCAGCAGCTTTGCTATCTTGTCCTTTGCATCCTCTACAGCCCAGCCGGTCCCGCCTCCCCAACACCTCAAGATCCTCTCACCAGCATGACGAGCAGAAATGAGTGATTGAGCCATTCGAACAGTCTCACTCCCACTACAATTTGGCGGCAACTTGCTGCCAATTTCTTCCAAATTCAGGGGAGCTAAGACATCATCAATGACAGCTCTTGCAAGGAAAAGAGCAAGCTCATTTGAAGCATCCAAAATGTCCAGTTCAGTATCCTCTGCAGATTCAAGAAGCAAGACAAACCCATTAACTATGTCCTCAGTTGAGAAGATCTCAATGTGAAGGGCAGAAAGCAGAACAGATGCCATTTCCTTTTCACGGTTTTTTCGATCCATTGCAAGGGTGATCAGCTTCTTCAAGAACAATGGATTATATTGGGGTACCCCCAGATCTTCAAGGCTCCGGATAAGCTCTGGAATGTCATCTGAGAGAAAATATTCATGAATTATGGCCACAATCTCTTTCTTGTACCGCTTCACTTTTTCATCTTCGACTCGTACACCACCATCTTCACCAGAGGATTTAAAAAATGAAGCATCAAGCCAACCTTCGGATATGGCCTTCGGGACCAGCGACTCGAACAAGGTGTTTGCTGATGGAATATCAAGAGCAAGGTCATCAAGGGTCTCTGCCAAACGAGAAAACCCCTTTACCATTTGACTAGAACTAATCAGCCCTTCCTCAGCCGCTTCCTTTAATAGCTTCATTATTAGTGGTTCTGATGTTCGAATCTCCATGGCAAGAATCAAAGCCCTCTTCACAACCTCATGATGAAAGAATGAAACTCCCAACTCCCTTATGCACCGACAGGCCTCAAAAGTATCTCCATTTTCTACGTATTCCCTCAATAGACCAGCAATTTTTTTCTTCATCTCTTCAACAGTAATGTGGGTGCTACCACCCCACCTTCTTTCAACAAGTTCTGCATGGTGTGGAGCTGAAAGATAGCTCTTCTCAGCAGTTTGGATTACCTGAACCCCCTTCGAAGATTCTGGGAGTGCTTTTTTTGCCCTGGTGAGGAAGGCTGGAGGAAGGATGTCATCAACCACTGCACGAGCAAGGAACAAAGCGAGGATGTCTACTGCATCCAGTATGTCCACTGCAAGGTCATCAGCAGATTCAAGAAGGATGAAAAATCCATCTCTAATCTGGATAGGGCTAATGACATCAGCATACAAAGATGAAAGCAAAACTGAAGCCATTTCCTTCTCCTTATCATGCCTGTCCAAGGCAATGGAAACAAGTCGCTTAATAAAGTAAGAATGATATTCACTTGAGCCTAGTTCTTTGAGGTCAGATGCTGCCAATGCCACATCACCAGTGCTGAAGTACTCCTCAATGATTGAAACAACGGCTTTCTTGTATTCATCCAAGGGATCTGTGATAGTTGACCCAACAAGTTGATACGGTTCCTGCTGAAACCAGTCTCTTTAAATTAAAAATCAGAATATTCCATCCACCTAATCAGAGCACAGTTAGGGTCATTGCAATCAATAGGGGATTGAAACTAAACTTCAAAAAATATATTACCTCGCCACTGTCATAATTAGGGTCATTGCGATCAATAGGTGATTCACTATCAGCGTCAAGCAGTTTTCCCCATGTGCCCTTACCACCACCTCCCTCTGTTGCCATTAGACAAAGAAAAGAGAAATCAATCCCACCAAAGAAAGACCAGGAATAGGTAATTTCAACAATCAGGGACAGTATCATCAATTCAGCACCAGAAAACAACATCAAATCTAAACTTGAAAAGCGAGAAAGAAAATGACTCTACCATTAACCCAAATGTAAATTACAAATACTACCCGGGTTTGAATTGATCAGTCATGAATCTTGCAGAGTTCATTCAGACCCTAACAACAGATAAATTAAGCTAAACACGCAGCTTCGAAGGAAGAAAGATCCATTCATGCATAATTGTGCACACTGTAGTTGATTTTCACAAACACCAAAATGATACATGACTCCAACTACTATAGCAACATCAACTACTATAAAACGAACTATAATAATGAATACTAGAGCCCCAGACCCTGTAAAACTAGAGTACCGGTCATTTACTTAAGAAAAAGTTAAAAGCACAATTGATTGAAAAAAGAAACATTGGTATATATGCAACAAAATTTCTTAAGAGCGTCTCAGGAAAATACAGATACTAATAAAACCAAAGACATGGTTACATAGAAATCAATGATCAACCATAAGCCAGCTAATGCAATCCCAATCACTTCAAATCTGCATAAGCTAACATAAGATCAACCCCAGTCAAGAAAGTGCTGAAAGGGAACTTACCCTTCTTCACTCGCACAAATTTCCCTGAGTGCGACCGGCGAACATGCCGCACAGCTATCCCAGCTGTTGGTGCCTTCCCACCAGCAGGGGCTTTTACATGATGTTCCGAAAGAAAAGATGTCGGGGATTTCGGGGATGATGACAAAATCTCCACATTTTGGCTGGCAATTTTTAATGTTTCCCTCTGCTCATTCGTCAGGAATCCCTCCTTTGAGGCCATTTCAACTGGAAAAATCCTATATCAATATTAATATCGAATAGATAATAGAGTATTACATCTTGAAAATTACTTTCTATTAGAAATATTAACCACTTTAGTCTTTACTGTTACTCTATTATTAACTCAATGAGAACAAAAACGCGTATAGGCAAATTTTACTTGAGCAATATTAACTAATCCAACGGATTAAGTGCTTATTAACCATTAACCACGTAGAGGTATGAGTATTAACTACAAAATCAATACAACTATAAGCTGTTTGGCTACTTAGAAACTGAAGGAAACTAAAGAAGTACACAACCATAAATAATGTGCGAAAAAGAAAAACAAGAAGCAACCAAAATGTAGCTTCAGTCACGGTGAAGCTAAAATATCATTTTCCAGAGTCCCAAAGAATGAGAAACCCAAACATCAAATGCATCATTTTAATTTCTTTTCCCAGCTTTTCTCAGCAACCAAGCAAACGACGCATAAGCGTAAAACAAAATTTAAAGAAGGCCAGAGTACCTGTCTGTGTTAAGTCTAAGAGTACCGAATCCAAAACCAGAGCCCGTTTCTTCTGTGCTTGGCCCGGATCTCGAGCCAAGAACAGGAGAAGCAATCGGATATCCAAGTCGGAGGTCCGAAGTCCACTGAAATACCGAAACGACGAGCAGCAACTCCGAGCCTCGAAACTAAACGACGTCGATCTAATGGATCAGAGAAGGTCCGGGTTTATCATAAACCGGTGGATCCGAATCTGTGAGTGACAGTGTCTGTCTCAATCGGTTAGAGAAGAAGAGAGAGAGGAGAGAGAGAGAGAGGAAATGGATGAGAACGAAAGTATGAGGAAGCGAAGGGTTTTATAGGGAGGCTACGATTACGATTTACACGTCATCATGTTTTGGTGTATTAGAGATAGGACCGTCCACGTGGCCTTCGCGCTTAAGGCAGCGCCACTATTGTGCCCCTGTCTTGTGCTTCCACCCGGCTCCGCTCTACCGGGTTAGGGTTTTCGTTGGTCAGTCGTATGGAATTTACCCAACTACCCCTAATTTTGTCGTTTTGTCCTGATCAGGTTATCTTTGTTCCCAAGTATTTATTAAAAGAGGGCACGGCAAGCATTCATTCAATTATGTTTCGTGTAGTAAATACTTGACATGAATTCGTAATTAGGAGTCAATTTAGGGCTGAAAATGTGGGATGGTAAAGTTTTTAATGCTGCCATTATTGATTGATGACAGAAGAATTACCATGGCCGTTATCTCAAGTAAATTTGAAAAACTCAACAAGTAATTTTTTTGGTCGGTCAGCAAGTCAAAAAGTAATTGAACAAGAGATTAATAAGTCAACAAGTAAGATATTACTTACACTGCAGTGTGACCGCCCTACCCAAGAATTTTTGCAGAATAACGTAAAGAAATGAAAATTCGAACTTTCATTGAACCGAAAGTTAGAGAACAAGTGCAACAAACCTAAAGTAACTAGAAGTGTAAACCAGAACTATATTGAAAAACCGTTAAGTTGAGCCTTCATCAACTTGATGTGAATGGAGTTCTAGTTCACCAATCAGACAAGGTTGATTCTCAAGAGATTTCGGCTTCCTGATTCTCATGCGGTTCCTTTCATTCTTAGATTTTCAAAGAAAGCCGGATATCATGATGATTCTTCGTATCAAAGCATATGAAAAAGATGTTGCAACTGGATTTTGGAATAATTACGACTGTATATGGAGTTGCTATTGTCCTCTTGAAGACTGAAGAGGCCACGGCCAACCCTAGAAAAGAAGTGGACCTGGGAAGAGAAATCTGCCTGGGACATGTGCACCAGGAAGAACAAGAATCTGTAAGCCTACTAATCTTCAATGGGTGTCAGTCAGCCGAATAAGATTAGACTGCAAATAAACAGAAGAAGAGAAAAACCATGAATGCTTCACGTAAAACTTTTTATTACAGATCAATTGTTATTGTACAGGGGACTGGCATAAGAATGTTTCACCTTATATTGATATTGAGATATGAACAGATACTTACCTAGTCACATTAATGGAAACTGGCATACATCAGCTGCAGCCAATCCTCTTGTTTAGCAAAGGGCCTTACAAATCTTGTAGAGACTTTCACCATAAAACTTTGGTGTGGTTTTGCTTTTCTCCAAGTTCCCAACTTAGACAGTGTGCCCTGAGACGAAACAACTATCTGGTAAACTTTCTGAAAGTTTGAAGGGAATGCCAGAATATGATGAGCTGAAGATAGGCCTTCGTGCCACAACTCCATTAATAGGATTATCACTGTGAGTTATCAGTTCTCACGTAGGGCTTTTTCTTGTTCTTCCAGAACTCATCTTTCTTTCCCTTCTTCTTAATTTTCAACAACCCCATTTTGCTATTAATTATACCGAGTATAGCACTCTTGTCCTTCTTGTTCTTTCTTGCAGCTTTTACATCCAAAATTGCCCTAAGCTTCTCATAAGACCTGGCATCTGGCATTTGTCCACTTTTTACCATTTGCTTGTGGTAGAAAAATGCTCTTTTGAAATCACGAACACGGACATAGGCATAGATCATGGTCGAGTATGTTACAGAATCAGGTTTTAAATTGAGAGCTGCCATCTCTTTCAACAGCTGCGGCAACTTTGAGTGTTGCCCTCCCCGTGCATATGCATTCATCAGCATATTATATGTCATCACTGTTGGCTGCAAACCTATAATTCCAAATTCAGAAATCACATCTCTTGCTTCAATATAGTGACCTTGTTTAGCAAATCCATCAAGAAGAGTGTTGAATGTCACCTTAGTCCCCTCAATCTTCTCTTTGATCATCAATTTCCATATTTTCATCAACATCTGCGCGTCCCCAGCACGCCTAAATGCATCCAGTAAAGCAGTATATGTTTCTATGGAGGGCTTTAAGCCTTCTTTTTGCATGTTCTCAAATGCAATGTAAGCTTTCTCATGCCAACCACTGACTGAAAATGCATGAATGAGAGCTGTATAAGAATGTGAAGTTGGACTTATACCAGCTTTCTTCATCCTCAAAAATGCATCTGCAGCCATGTCACTCATCTTCTTCTGCCTCCCATACGCACTGATAAGACATGTATAGGATTTGACATTTGGCTCCAATCCCATATCCTGCATTTCTACCAGCAGCTTCTCAACAATCTCAGTCTGCATTTTTCTGCTGTATGCACTCATTAAAATATTGAAGGTGGCTGCTGTTGGTTTGACGCCTCTTGATTTCATCTCAGCAAAGAGACCTTCAGCTTCTTCAACTTGGTTGGAATTACAAAAAGCATCCATTAAAGTATTATAAACAATGGCATTTGATGAGATCCCTTTCTTCTCCATTTCTACTTGAATGATAAGGGCTTCACTTTTCAGCCCCTCATCACAGAATGATTTTATAAGAGCACCCAAAACTTCTTGACTCCATTTGACGCCTTTCCTATTCATTCTCTCAAAGAACTGCCATGAATCTTTTGCACTACGGCCAACTTTTCTCATGACAGTAATCATAATTGAACATGTCACATGATCCGGAAGTGTATTATTTGCTTCCATTGCCTCATATACCTCCCAAGCATCATCATACCTGAAATAAGTTGGCAGGTATTAGCAATGAATTCTAGCAAGTTGCGTTATAATCTGAAATCATTGCCAATTCGAGTTGCACACCAATAGCTATAGCTTTGCCTATTTTTTTTTATTTTTTTTCAACTAATAATTAAACCAGCTATATTAAGAAGATAGTATAATTCAAGTTTGCCTTGGGTCTACAGAAACATGCACAGAACAGAAAGCTGATGATCCAAACTGCCCGTAACTCATTATGTAATTTATACAACATACTTTTCTGCATAAAAATATTATATGTTAGTTAACTTATGACTTAATGTCAATCATTTTGTTGATCCTCATACTCTTCCTATGAACAAACTTATTGGTAAGCCTAGAATTCCTAATATCACTACAAATTGACCACAAACAACTATAGCGCAAACTAAAAAAAAAAGTATCAAGCATATCATACCTCTTAGAGCACATTAAGCCAGAAATTGCAGCATTATAAACGTGAACATCCCTGAACTCCTTCTTAGCTGGTAAATTCCTAAACAAAATCATCAACTTATCGCCCATTCCAGCTCTCCCCAACATGGGAAACAAAACTGAACACGCCCTAGGAGTAACTAGAGAAGTTTCCTGCAAACCCATCCACTCATAGAAATACAAGCAACCCATTAAAAGGCCCTCCTTGCCCATCAACTCCAACACTTTCACAGACTCTTTCTCACCAACCCTTCCTTCAAAACCTCCCAATACCTCTCCCAATGTCAAGTTTTGCGGCAACGTCCTTGCTTTTTGCAAAATTTCTTCGACAATTTCCTCAGACAACGCCCTTGAATCAAAATTCAATGGTCTGGCTTGTTCCCTTTGTTGTTCAAGCACTCCTTCGATGCCAGAGTCAGTTTCTGATTCGTCTACGAGTTGGGTATCGTCAGCTAAACGCCAAGAAGAGCGACGGTTCTTTTGAAGAGAGAGCTTGCCTTCACGTTGAGGGTCCTGGGTTGAACTGCGAGACTTGAAGAATCTGAGAATTGGATCATCTGGGTCCTCCTCTTCTTCTTCTTCTTCAAGTTCTTGCAGGTCTTCTGCTTCTTCTTCTTCTTCTTCTTCGTCGTCGTCGTCGTCTTGGAGAAAGGGAAGGAAAATGGGGGTTGAGGAGTGAGAATTGGGAGTGGGAGTGGAGGAGGAGGAAGCTGCGTGCAGAGAGAAAAGTCTGAGGTTTTTGGAGAACATAAAGAGGCAAGGGTTTGAGAAGGGAGAGTTTGGAGAGTGATTGTGAAGGAAGGGAAATGGTGGAGGAAGAGTGAGGTGTTGGCTTATGAGAGCCATGGTTTGGTTTTTTGGATAGGTTGCTGCTGGTACTAGCAAGCTAAGCACTACCTCCTGGGAAATGTACTGTTCGACAATATTGACAAGGAAGACGGACAGGCCCTAAACGGTGCGTTTTTTGGTTTGGGTTATGGCCGAAGAAGATGGGCTGCTGATACTTGGGCTAACATGTTAGAAATCCCAGTTTTGCATTACGTGTGATTGCACTTTAGAGAATGATGTTACACCCAAGGATATTCTTTGGACACCCTGGCCTCATTTTTACCCAAAATTTCACTTCTTCTACTCTTCTAACTTGTTTCCCTTGAAAAATCTGAAACAATTCTTTTAATTGGAAAACAGGAAGAGAAAAATGAAAAATTCTTGAACACCCAAACCCCTACTCCTTTCCTTTCCCTTCATGCCAACCGGTCGGCCATTCCCAAATACTCCAAGCATTTATCCATGCATATGAAGTTCTAAGTTTTATTTCCACCTTCTCCAATATCCTTTTTTTAAGGTTCAAATTCTCTAATATCGTTTGTATTTAAATAAACTACAAGAGAAAAAATTTGGGTGGGTGTCCAGTTCACTCTAGGATTCTGTTTCCTCTTTACAATAGGATAGATCGCTTTTGTCTTGTAGCCCAAACCGGGTGAAGAAAACTCTTTATAAAAAGGGAGCCCTACCCCATCAGCCAACAATTACGATCAAATTTCTACAATGGAATCGAATCAGCCATCACGATCAAATCTGAAACGCAAGATGATCTCCGAAGACTCCGATTCCGATTCCGGCAAACCCACAGCGGAAAAGAGGGTTAGGTTTCCAAAGGGGAAGAAGGCGAGGCTGGGAGATGAAGCGGTAAACATACGCAGAGCTGAGGACGACGAGGAGATTGAGATTGGGTTGGCGGACCCTCGTTCTGCCGCCAAAGAGCGAGAGAAGCGACGGAGCCAGAGAAATCACGGCAGGTTTGGGGAGGATGGGATTGGCGAAGATGTGTCCAAGGCGGAAGTTTCATACGAGGGATTGGACTCTGAGAACTTGATGGAGGATGGGATTCCAATAGAGCCTTTCAACTTGGACAAGGAGAGGGAAGAGGGTTATTTTGATGCGGATGGGAATTTTGTTGAATATGCCCCCAATGAGAAGAACCAGGTCAAGGATGCTTGGCTCGACAGTGTTGAAGCTGGTGAGACAAAATTATATGCTCGGAAAACAGAAGATGAAGATGAAGATGGTGATGGTGAAGATTTACCTTTGTCTGATGGTGATGATATTGGGAAGATTAAACGGCGCATTGCTGATGTGCTGGAGGATGGAGAGACTGTTTTGCAGGCTTTGAGGAGGTTGAAGGGAGCTTCTTCTTCTGCAAGGAACAAGAAGGAGAAGATGCCCGCTGAGACAAAGCGGGTTTTCGATCAGTTGACAGAGGATGCTGTGACCCTGATGGACAAGTATGGGGAGTACAATGTGAATCATGAGAAGAGGGAGATTTTTGAGCGTGAGGCTCAAGGGTATGAGAGTTTAGCTAGGGCAAGAAGCCAAGGTGCGGCATTGGGTACGAATAATGGTGCTGAATCTGCTGGAGATGAATATGATATGTTTGGTGAAGATGATGAAGAAGCAACTGCTCAAGCATCGAATTCGGATGGGGTTGGTCCGTCACAATTGGAGAATGATTATGTGTTTGATGAGTCTTCTGGGTACTATTATAGCAGCAGTTTGGGGTATTATTATGATCCATCTACTGGACTCTATTGCTCTGCTGCTTCTGGGCTATGGTACTCGTTCAATGAGGAGACTGGAGCATATGATGAAATCACTCACCATGACCAGGCGGCTGCTGCTGCTGCTGATGCTGAGACCGGTGCAAATTGAAAATTGATCGTTTAGAATTTAGATTCATATTGATGTCTACCTTTGTTTTCCTTAACAAAACAGAAAAGACGTTAGAAACTTCTGAAACTAATGGCCAAATATTGAAAAGGTCAAGAACTCTCAAATTATATAAGCCAGTTGCAATTCACTGTATTCAAATTACAGAATGGTTTTTTTTTTTCTTTTTAAATATTGTTGAGAACAAATGCCTACATAGATAATGCCCTTCATTTAATCTAAATCTACCTTTCATACCACTTAGCGTCCTAGAAAACTGTCTTCTCCATCTTGTATAGATTGGATGGTTTTTGTATAGATCAAACCATGTCAGGCCTCTGTGGAAGCAGAAGATTATAGAACTTATCATGCAAAAAGAAACTCTTTCCCCTGCTATCAACAGCCTTTTTCCACCCACACCATCCGCCGTTTACAATTTTCTTGTGCTCGTCGTTGCCGGTATAGTGAGGATCGAGTATTAGAAACGCACAATCTCCACTTGCTTCATTGTAATCAATTCCCAAGAGGGTATATGCAAGAACACCACCACCTGCATCCACATATTAAGTTATAAGAGAAGATTTCTTCTCTTTTATAGTTCTTTAATGGTTTCTGCGAAATTTCCATCCTATCTTTAACCAAGAGAAGCGTCAAATATGCTAACCTATCATAATAGGTGTTCCTTGATTCTCAAAGTGCGAGGCCAGCTCTCGACATTTTTCTGGAAGCTCAGCTCCAGATCTAACATTTATGACTTTGCAACTAACCTGTTCAATACAAAAAACAATCGGGTTAAACCCCAAAGCATCTTATTTGAGAAATTACCAGTAAACCACGTTGATGATACGTACACCCAAAAGCTTGTCTAGAACAAAGCTCAATTCAATGGCGCCAATCCATTCGCGTGAACCAGTGAAAGAAGGATCTTTATCACCAATCTCTACAAGTGTCTGCTGTATTTCCCTGATATCACTTGGCTTGTCAGATCAAATCGTATGACACTGATAATTAGCACCAAATAGAAAGAAACGAGGAAATACATTAAATGATGTTGAAAGGTCAAAACGAAACAAGGGTTTTATTTATGGTGCGAATTTCTTTTCAGATTAACAGATTAACAGATGAGAACATTGGAATAAATTCAACTAACATACATATAAAAACCCAACTTTAAATAAAGTGGTCAGTAGGTCATGACGACTTCAAATATCTCTAAAATGTGGGATGAGCAACTAACTACCAAGAAGGGCTTCAAAAAGAATTAAATAGCAGAGCAAATCGAATTCTGGGGCACATTTCATACCTATGCGATGGAACTTCTACGGATGTATAATGTTGAAGTCTGAACCATGAAATTATAGTTTGTAGAGAACGATAAGCACAACCCCACCCCTAGCAAGGAAACAGAACAACACTTAATAGACATATTTACTAGAATTAATTGCGAAAATTCAACTTAAGCAAAGTTGAACATGTATTCTCAAAAGGATATTATAACTACTAGGTATGGGAGATTGTGAAAATTACTGAATCATTAAATGCTTCTTGTAGATAATGGTAGTATTCATACGAGCCTTGCACCATAGACACACTGCCCCCTGAAACTGCATAAAGACACAATGGTTCCAAATAAAATTCCACTATTCAGAAGCAGGGAAAGGGAATATACATGGTTCCAAATAAAATTCCACTATTCAGAAGCAGGGAAAGGGAATATACAAAGAAACAAGACCAGCCACCAACCCCCACTGCTTGGAATCCCAAGGTGTACATCTTTGAGCAAAGTAGAACCTGATATTACCACAGAAATGTATCAAAATAGTGACTACTCCAAAATAAAAACAAAAAGAAAAGAAAAAATACAACTTTTCTTTCTGGAAAGGGGATATTGGGGGAATAAAAGCCTTGCAACTGACAAATGGAGTTGCCTATCTAAAGGAAAATGGTTACCCTTCCGTGTCGGGTCACTCCTTATGCCATCCCCCGTAGAGAAATCCAGAGCGTTGGCAATTCTTAAAAGAGGCCGATCGAAAGGTAAACCCAGTCTTAAGTGTAAAGATTTCCTCACTTCAACTGCAGAAGCAAAGACAAGATTAAGAAAAGTAATCCTACGATCAAATTCCAAAAGAACCTTGTACAAGCTCCCTCTCTAAAAACCTGCATCTAAAAACATAGTACACCCTTTTCCACATTCACAAGCACTGAACCAAATGCTACATTTTCATCATGCAAGAAATGAAAGGATTTATTCTACCTCTTGACGATAAAAAAGAACAACCTCTAAACTTCCAGCTAGGAGCCACTTGAAATTATTCTACCCTAAATAGATTGTTCCCTGGAAGAAGAAAAGTTCAACATCACCACTGCCTACCTTGCTTCATTTCTGTTTCCCCATAGTTGAGTTCATAGACAACAGTAATTGGATGCAGAACACCAGGAGGGCTAAAGTGATAGGTATGTAGCTGGCAATGCAATAAACCAAATAGTTGTGTTCAGAATTTAAATAAAAATAATGGAATGAAAATACTACGAGAACAATATTCGGACTTACCACAGCCATGTCAAAAGAGGGAAGTTAGGTCTGGTTGTTCTGATAATCATTAATATACTAGCTTCTTTATATAATATTTCTATGAATGAGCATCAGATATTCTGGGAATTCCCAGATAGAGCTTAAGGTTTTCTAGCATGCCCACATATGTGCTAGTCCATAATTAGGTGAATGAATGCGAGCACAAGCACACTGTGAAAGAAAGTCTATATTTGAAATAAGAAGAGAAAATTGTATAGTGGAATGAGGTTAATGCCAATGAGACTCGTTCTTTTGATTATAAAAAAGGAAGGAGAGAAAAACGGTTTCTTAGAAAAAGAAATTTTGGTAAACCCAAAGCCCTGAATTGTGAAGCGTTAAGGGTTCACCAACCAACAATTGGCCTTTGACCAGAAGATGTCCTTATGTATCCCAATAGCAGGCAGCATGCACATGGAAAGAGATAGTGAAACAGAAAAGATTCACTTGTACAAGAGATAATCTTGTTTTTTCTCAATTTTAGGGTTCAATTAGTAGTCATGTCATAGAATACAAGAAATGGTTTGCCTTACCTGAGGATGTTGCGCTAACAGGTTCGGCAGGACTGTATTTCCCACTAAATTAAACTGATCAACCAACCCTGGGATAATTAACTTTGAAACTGCATGCCTCAGTGGGAGACCCTTGACTGCGTAGCAGAGCACTTCTAGCTTATAATCTACCACCAAAACTCTGGCTTCTTCCAAAGCTGAAACCACATGTTTTAGATTCCATTACAAAGCTTCATACTCGAAAATAAATATGATTATGTGATTAAAATTCAAAGCAATACCTGGAAAATATTCTGCAATAGGTGCAGTAGACTTTTCAGAGTTAACTGACCTATTCAGCAGAACACTCACTTGGATTCTATCTGCATGCTAAGCAGGAAAGGTATTCAAAAATTGAATTCCAATATCCATTGTTATTGCTGAAAGAAGATAAAGACAAACTACCCAAATAGTTGCGTTCCAAGATCCAACAGAAGCAAACTAATGCCCCAATTAATCTCTTACTCTTTTTCTTACCTCAGCAGAATATACTGGTGAGCCTTTTTTACTTTCCAGACAGAAGTGCGAACATGATAAAGAATCTGCATCAGAATTTTGAGCTCTTTCATCCAAAAGTTTGACATTTGAGAGATCTGTGTCAAAATCCAAATCTACACCACGAAGGATGACAGGTTGAGGTACTTCAGCAGAAGTTTTTCTTAATGCTTCTACCATGCATGCAATCTTTGGATCTTTGAACTTGGCAACAACTGCTTCAGTTGCACGCTGAAATATCTTTTCCAAATCTAATAAAACAATACACGAGAAGTGAACATTCAAATCAATTCCGATGAACCGCATGGAATGAATAGTGGATAAAGTTTGTCAAATTGCAAGTATGAAATTAGAAATGAATGAGAAGGTCTGAGGGCAAAACTGAAAGGTGAAGATGAACCATTCTGGCTCATAGTTTCGTTAACTGACACTCAACAAAGCTTTATTCTTTAAAGAGGTCAATTAAACAAATAAAATTATTAATGCCAGATACTTTAAATTTTTGTAGCAAAAACCTCAGTAATGTATACACTTATAGGTGTAGTAATTCTAATAACTCCGTGAATCTAAATTTCTAGATTTACATAAAGGTTACTTCAGTACACTTATAGGTGTAGTAATTCTAACAACTCCGTGAATCTAAATTTCTAGATTTACATAAAGGTTACTTCAGTAAACATACTATGCACAAATTTTATTGAGTAAAAGCTCCTGAACTTAACTTCCCACTTCTGCTCTGAACAATCAGTAGCTCATCTAGAACTCGAAGCCAACCAATTCACAGAAGAAACATAACAAACTACAAAGCATGAACTGCTCAATCAAATTTCTGAATGCAAATTACGTTCTAAAAAAATGCACCACCGAAACAACTTACCAGACGGCTTGTTTACTGGATAATAGATCGGCAACTTAAGCGGAAGCTCACATCGGAGCAGACAACCCCTCTCCCAAATATACTTCTCAGGATCATCTTCATACAACACGTTAACACATTCAAAGCTCTTAGAACTCTCGGACACGAAAAACTTTATGTCGCCGCCGTTCAAATCCGCAACAGCTCCAATTACTTGTTGACTATCCATTTTTTCTCTTTCACCGCAGAAAAGCTTTCGCAACCTTCGAGCCGCAGCAATAGCCTTGCCGGCGTTCTTTTCAGCATCGGAATTTGCAAATATCAATGCTCCGATCACCTCAAATCCTTTCAACAGTAACGTTCGAAGCTCTTCTGCTCAGGTAACGGAAACTAATCAGAGTTTGAAATGATGTTCGAGAAGACAGTACAATTATTGAATTTCTGTAATTTTTTTCTCTGGAAACAAACTGAAATTCGGTACCTGATTCTCTGTGGTAGTCTGGAGAGGAGGCATCGGTGTGGATGCATCTGAGGGTGGAGACGACGGTAAGTGGCGGGAAGAATGGGGATCCGATCAGCCATTGGAGGCCGGGTTCGTTCTTGTAGAGCACAAGCTTAGAGCAGAGAACTCGAACGCTTGTATTCTCGTACACGTTCTCCATTTACTACTGACTGTGAGCTTTGCCAAATGCAGAGCTGCTCGTCTTCTCGATTTCACTACCGTTTTCGGCGGAAGCCGAAATTTGATAACTGACAAACGGAGAGGGTCTGACTCCCAAAAATATTTTTTTTCAAAAGAGAAAAGCAAAGCGGAGAGTACTACTGCTCATAAGCCATTGAGCCCAGTGATTGATTAATCGTTGTACTTTGGGCCACTGGGCCCAATTAATGGTTATTTTCTCATCCTTGGATCCCCTTCAGTTTTTTAAGTCATTAAAAAAAATTAAGAATTTAGCATACTTTTGATCTTGATCACACAAGGGATTGTTTGCAGTTTTCTTTATGAGATGAGGATTCAAACTTGAGTTCTCATCCGACGCTAGGAAGAAAAGTATCACCATGCCTTCGTGAGGGGGTAGGTGTACATTTCATTTATGCGTATCATTTCCATACATTACTTTTTCTTTTGGGAGTTATTGACACTCCAAGAAAGTCATCATACAGTTCTCCCGACTCGCCTTTTCCAATGATATTTTGGGAGTGAAACAATAACAATTCCCAATTTTTTTAAACCCAAAATTGGTTTGTCGATTGTTTCATAAGCATGTTGTAGAAAACCAAATGAGAGGCGCAATACTAGATGGAAGAAAAAACAGTTCTTACTATATACTATATATATATATATAAGTTATAACCATGAATCTGGTTCCCGAAAATATCTATAACATCAATGACAACCTCTTGCAATTGCAATATAAGACCTACAAAAGAGAAATGTCCAAGGTATGAATTTCTTTGAAGCTCCTCTGCGGCCATCATAAATTACAGCTCTCTGTCAGATACTCCTTTGTAGAACTACTTAGCAGTTGCACAGGGAAGGACCCAACAACCAGGGTGTGAATTTTGTCGTTGATGCCTCAGCTGCCAAGCCTGCAGCATTAACACACTTGATTTAGTCAGATATTTGTAAGTGTTAATATAATCTTTTCAAGAAATGGTCCAAAACTTCAACAAAAAATCAATTTTCTCTTTTCATTTCTTACTATCATTGTTGCTATACCTTTCCCAAGGGAAGGGTAGGGGTTCTCCAACAAAGCAAACCTGAGTTTTCCTTCAATCTGTAATTAAGACAACAAGACTCTTAAAACAAAAATTTAGGGCACCAACAAACAGAAAGAAGACCACAGCAAAACTTACGCGTCCTCGTCTTTATAGCTGTCAATGTTGCTACAAGAGCCACTGCAGAAGACATACGAATCATTTCCCACTAGACATGTTTCAAAAGATGTCCTGCTTGGCACAAACTTGTTCTGGAGTTTGGTGCAAAATGTCATCCGGGAAGCATCTGATGAACGCAACTTCTTATGAAGCCTCATAGCCCTAGGGAAACAGTTTGGTTGATGTTCGGGTTCTTCAGACGATAAAACCTGGCTTTCATGGTTGCTCTCCTCTTCCTTCGAAGAATCAACCATTAACCCAGGTGCCTTTGATGTATCATCTTCAAATGATCTACGGGATGAGGCAGTCCTTGTGCTGAGTATATTTCCTTCACTATTTCTCAAGGTACTTACAACCACCATTCTGTCACGGCAGTTATGTGGCATTTGATAGGCACAATCAGAGGAACAAGGTAAAATAGGTCTGTTACTTAATATAGGCATTTCAGATGTGTACTCAGAATAGTCTGAATCACTTCCACGTCCAGTAGATGATTGTGACTTCTGCTGTATTCTGCGGGAACAGCTGAACAACCTAAAAGATGGCTTCTTCACTTTTGCATACTTTGAATCAGAAGCACAAGGTACAAGATTGATCCTGACCTCCACATTACAACCAAACATAGATTGAAGTGAACTGGCAATGATCTTCCATGACTTCTCAGCCTTAGATACATAATCAGGATGGCAGAATTCCAATTCAGCTATTGCTAAACCTAAAATTGAGCATTACTCTGTTAGTGCCATGAGATAAGAAAACTCATTTCTTATCAGAGCCGATGTTTATGATTATAAACCCAAGTAAGCTAAAACAGTTCGCATGTATGGAAATGTGATCTAACAAGTGCAAGCTAAGAATATAAAGTTGCTGATACATATCTTCTTGAAATGTCTCCCCTGATTTTCATATATGTTCAAATGTGATTTCACCATAGAATTAATGATGAAATTCTAGATGCATGTACCTTGGCTAACAAGCAAGGAAGATAATTTTCCTTGTTTCTTCAGAAAATTCTTGAGTGAATTGGATTGGCATGAATCTGTAGCTCTCTTCCATATGGATTCCAACTTTCCATCACTATCCTTCTGCATTCCCAACTTGTCCGGTGTATTGCATGGACAAGTGACAAGGTTCTTGAAGCTCTCCCCTGTGGATGATGTACCACAAAACTTGATATCAAACTTTTACCAAACTAACCACTTGAACTTACGGAAAATAAAAGGCATTTCCATGAACAGAATTAAAATAGAAGCTATTCATCACAATCGGAATCAGCTAATGTAATTATTCTCACCTCTGTCTTGCGTACTTCTCAAACACAACTTTTTATCATTAGCATCCAAGGAAGAAGACTCCACAGAGCTTAGCTGCAGCAGAGCTGCAGTAAGCCATGTCATTTGATTTTTGGACACCCTTAATTGCTTCTCAGTTTCAGAGAATATTTTCAAAGCATGACTCAGTTTCTGCAAGTCCACCTCAGCTGTGACAGAGAAAATTGAAAGAATACCACCATAGTATAAGTGTATAACTATAAGATGACACAGTAATTAACTGCAGTAAACATAATGCAGGAACCACGACAACCAGCCAACATATTTTCAAACCAAATTCTTCAAGGTACATTGAAGGAACAATAAGCATATTATAATATTAACTTATGAGGGCAATGCATGACAAACTTATATAAGATGACCTCTTGAAACAAGAATATGATTTGAAGCAAAGAAGACAGAGTGGTAATAACTAAGTACAGTTTATAATGTCTAAAAACCATTATTGGAGTACTTGAAAAATCATTAATAATTAATTTCGTTTACAGTAGTAAGTTATGACCAAAATCAAACAAAATTTAGGGTCTAAGACAGCATGCTTAAAGAACTTTCATTTCCTGTACAAAATTCTGATGGGATCTTCAGGAAGCATGTGACCATATTTAACTACTTACATGTATGCCTGCTAGAGAACCTTTTCTGGACTTCAGAAGCACCATCCTGACATTTACCAGCAAGAATATCCATAACAAGATTTGCCAGCTGCGATATGAGTTGCATGGGATCAACCTGGGATCTCATCAACTCCCTGGCCCTTATTACTGTACTAGATGTGTCAGATGATAATGCCAGATCAAGCAAACCAAGTAATTCATCATCAGAGACAACTCCAACCTGCATAACAATATAAGGGAATGTTTTTTTTGTAAATATTGGATAAATAGATGGCGCTATATATAAAAGTAGAGATTTTCTATTTAAACCCCGCACTTCTCTTTGTTCACCCCAATACTTAAATTATTAAGCTGTAAGTTTTATTATTGTGTAAAAAGACAAAAAAGGTCATCCAACTTAATAATTAACCCTAGTACATCTATACACACACCCCACACCCCACACCCCACACACCCCACCACTCTTCATATCAAGTTTTAGAAAAATACAAACTCCTCTACATCCTATTGCCAAATTACTCCTCTTTTAAAGACATAGAAAATTGACGAGCCTACCTCTTTAAATATG